TGCATGACCAGCACCCCAAGGAGCAACTGCCCAGGCGTACAAGCAAGAAAGCAGCTTTCTACAGATCGCAGACTTACCGCAGCTCCCAGGGTGCATAAGAGACTGTGTCCTTCAAAGCATTCCTGGCCGGGCTTGCTCTCATTGTTCCCTTGGGTAGGTTTTGGGGAATAGAAGTTGGGCATTCAGGGACATGGTGTTTTAACGTCCCCTTTTCATACTGCAACACCAAAAGTTTAAAAGTTAATATCATATTTATTGATGAAAGACAAAACTTTTCCCTGGAGATCAGGAACAAGACAAGAATACCCACTATGGCCACTTCTACTCAACATTAAAATCTCTAGTTTGAGCAATTAGGCAAAGAAACAAAAGGAATCCAAACTGGAAAGGAAAAAGTAAAGTTATATTAGTTTGCAGATTACATGATTTTATATGTAGAAAACCTTAAAGATCTCTCTCTCTCTCTCTCACACACACACACACACACCCCTGTTAAAGCTAATAACTGGGCTGGGGATGTGGCTCAAGCAGTAGCGCGCTCGCCTGGCATGCGTGCGGCCTGGGTTCGACCCTCAGCACCACATACAAACAAAGATGTTGTGTCCGCCGAAAAACTAAAAAAATAAATAAAAATATTAAAATTCTCTCTCTCTCTCTTTCTCTCTCTCTCTCTCTCTCTCTCTCAAAAAAATAAAGCTAATAACTAATTTAGCAAAGTTTCAGAATACAGTCAACACAACAAAAATGAGTTGCAATTCTTTATGCTAACAATGAATAATCCATAAATCAAATTAATACATAGTGGTACACATCTGTAATCCCAGAGACTCAGGAGGCTGAGGCAGGAAGATCGCAAGTTCAAAACCAGCCCAGCAACTTAGCAAGACCCTAAGCAACTCAGTGAGAACCTGTCTCAAAATAAATAGTAAGTTATTCTCTGGGCTGGGGTTGTAGCTCGGTGGTAGAGCATTTGCCTAGCACGTGTGAGGCCCTGGGTTCGATCCCCAGCACCACATAAAACTAAATAAACAAAATAAAGGTATTGCATCCATCTACAACTAAAAAATAAAAAATAAAAATTTCTTTACTCCATGTATGTGTAATATATCAAAATACACTCTATTGTCATGTATATCTAAAAAGAGCAAATTAAAAAAATAAAGGACTGGAGATGTAGCTCAGTGTTTAAGCACCCCTGGGCTCAATCCCCAGTGTGGACACACACACACACACACACACACACACACGAAGAGAGTCTTGAAGAAAAAGAAAATTTGGAGGACTCACATTTTCTGATTTCAAAACTTACGCCGGTGAACAGACAGCATAAGGACAGACATACAGATCAATCAAATTGAGTAGCCCAGAAATAAACCCTCACATAGACCCGCACGACTGAGCTTTGACAAGTATCCCAAGACCATTCATGGAGAAAAAAAGTCTTTTCATCACATCTCAGTGGGACAACTGGACACCCCCACACAAAACCAGAAGATTAGAACTTCACCTAAAACCAGGAATGAAAGTTGTGAGGCACTGGGTTTGATTCTCAGCACCTCACAGAAATAAACAAATAAAACAAACATCCATTGACAATAATTTTTTTAAAAAATCAGTTGACTGTGTATGTGAGGGTCTCTCTCATTTCCCTATTCTATTCCATTCGTCTCTTTGTCCTTATGCTCACACCATGCTGAGTACTGAAGCTTGTGGTGGCAGTGGTGCTGGTAATGGGCATTGAACCTGGGGCCTCTTGCATGCTAAGCACATTTTCTTGTCCGATTGCTTATTTTTTTTATACAGAAGTACGGCTGATCTTTGTCTGTTGTTCTCATATCCTGCTAATTTGTTGAATTAATGAAGGGGCTCTAACAGTTGTTTGTGGCATCTTAAGCATTTTCTACCTATAAGATCATAATTTCACCTTTCAGTCAGAACCACCATCTTCCAATAATTTGCCAAATGTCAAACACAAAGGAAAAGGGGAGAGGCGCCCACTCCATGTTCTTCAGACCTTTTGGAAAGCACTGTTTCTTCGTTTTCTGTATTACTGTCTTCCTTTTTGTTCAGTTAATTTTTGGAGAGTAGTGAGATAATTTAATTCCTTTCTCAATTTATTTTATGTATATTCTTTTTAATTGCAGAATGCATCACAATTCTTATTAAACATATAGAACACAATTTTTCATATCTCTGTATATAAAGTATGTTCACACAAATTCGTGTCTTCATACATGTGCTTTGGATAATGATGTCCATCACATTCAACCATCATTGCTAACCCCCTGCCCTCTCCCTTCCCCTCCCACCCTTCTGCCATATCTAGAGTTTGTCAATTCCTCCCATGCTCCCTCTCCCTACCCCATTATGAGTCAGTCACCTTATATCAGGGAAAACATTCTCCATTTGTTTTTTTTTGGATTAGCTAACTTCACTTAGCATTATCTTCTCCAACTGCATCCATTTACCTGCAAATGCCATGATTTTATTCTCTTTTATTGCTGAGTAATATTCCATTGTGTATATATGCCACATTTTTTAATCGATTCATCTACTAAAGGGCATCTAGGTTGGTTCTATAATTTAGCTATTGTGAATTGTGCTGCTAAAAACATTGATGTGGCTGTGTCCCTGCAGTATGCTGTTTTTAAGTCCTTTGGGTATGGTCCGAGGAGAGGAATAGTTGGGTCAAATGGTGGTTCCATTCCCATATTTCCAAGGAATCTCCATACTGCTTTCCATATTGGCTGCACAAATTTGCAGTCCCACCAGCAATGTATGAGTGTGCCTTTTTCCCCACATCCTCACCAACACTTATTGTTGTTTGTCTTCATAATAGCTGCCATTCTGACTGGAGTGAGATGATATCTTACAGTAGTTTTGATTTGCATTTCTCTAATTGCTAGATGATGAACATTTTTCATATATTTGTTGAGAAGTGTCAAGTGTCTGTTCATGTCCTTGGCCAATTTATTGATTGGGTTATTTTATGTATATTCTATGGCTTTTTTTATTTTTGATTACTATGAGGATTACAATTGATATCTTTAAGTCATAACATTCAGCTGTGTGCAGTGGCACATGCTCATAATCCCAGCAGCTCAAGAGGATGATGTAAGAAGGTCCTGAGTTCAAGGTCAACCTCAGCAATTTAGTGAGTCCCTGTCTCTAAATGACATATAAAAAAGGGCAGGAGGTGTGGCTCAGTGATTAAGTGCCCCTGGGTTCAATCCCTGGCACACACACGGAAAAAAAAAAAAAAGAAAAGTTATAACATTCATTTGAATTTATCACAGCTTAATTTTAGTTACATACAAAAGTTCTTCCTTTACAAATCTGTCCTCACCTCTTTCATATGTTAACATCATAGAATTATATCTCTTTGTATTGTGTGTACAAAACTGCAAACTAGTAATTGGGTCCCCACCCACCCACACCGACCCATGGTACTGGGGATTTTTTTTTTAAATATTCTTTTTTTTTTTTTAAGAGAGAGAATTTTAATATTTTTTTTTTTTTTTAGTTTTTGGCAGACACAACATCTTTGTTTGTATGTGGTGCTGAGGATTGAACCCAGGCCTCATGCATGCCAGGCAAGCGCGCTACCGCTTGAGCCACACCCCCAGCCCATGGTACTGGGGATTGAACCCAAGGCCACTTTACCACTGAGCTACATCCCAGCCCTTTTTATTTTTTATTTTGAGACAGGGTCTCAGATAAGTTTCTGAGGCTGGCCTTGTACTTGTGATCCTCCTGGCTTAGCCTCCTGAGTTGCTGGGATTATTGGTGTGCATCACCCACCTGGCCTCCTTTAGCATTTCTTGCAGAGCAAATCTAGTGATAACAGATCTTTCAACTTTTGTTTATCTGGGAACATGTTAATTTCTTCATCACTTTGGAAGGATAGCTTTGCTGAATTCTTGGTTAACAGACTCTTTTGTTTATTTAGCGGGTTGACTATATGAGCCTACTACCTTTTGTTTCCAAAGTTTGTAATGAAAAATCTATGGATAAGAATGTTGTGCATCCCTTGTATGTGACAAGTCACGTCTCTCGCTGCTTTTAAGATTCTGTGTCTTTGACAAGTAAGATTCTGTGTCTCAGTCAATGTAGTAGTTATATTTAGGTGTATGTCTCCTTGAGTTTATTCTATTTGAAATTTATTGAGCTTCTTAAATATTTATGTCTTTCATCAAACTTGAAAAGTTTTCAGTCATTATTCTTTCAAAGAATCTCTCTGCACTTTCTCCCTGTTCTCCTTCTGGAACCCTAAAATGTCTATATTGGTTTCCTTGATGATGATCCAAAGGTCCCTTAGACTCTGCTTGCTTTTCTTGAATCCTTTTAATCTTTGTTCCTCAGGCTAAATAATTCAAGCATACTGTATTCAAGTTTGCTGATTCTTTCTTGTGCCTTCTCAAATCTGTCTTTAAATTCCTCCAGTGAATTATTCATTTCAGTTGAGACTAGATCTCACACCTAACTCCACATTCAACCTCACATGAGATGCTGTGAGTTTGACGATCAGCAAGAGGGCCTCAGGACAGCCACCCTTGTAGCCTACCCATTGGACATCACGTCAGGAACTCCGAGTGGGCAAACTAATTGGTGACAAGCATATCCTAAGGAACCTCACTATGAGGAAATTAGGATCACTGTGTGTCATTTCAATTTGTTTTCTGTCTCTTTGTTGACATATGTTTTGTCTGTCCGGTTTTTTTTTTTTAATTTTTCTTTTCTCACATCTTCCTTTAGTTATTTAAGCATATTTCAGAGAGTTGTTTTAGAATCTTTGTCTAGTAGTAGGTATATCATCTGGCCTTTGTGAGGGACAGTTTCTATTGTTTTGCATTGCTCCCCAATAAGTGGGCCATACCTTCCTGTTTCTTTATATACTAGTGATTTTTTGTTGTTGTTGAAAACTGAACTGTTATTCTAATAATATGGTAATTCTGCTCCAGGGTTGCTGTTTATTGTTTCTTGTTGTTTGTTTTCTAAGAAGTATTAGGCTATAAATCTTAGTGCTCACTGGCCTGAAAACTAAGCACAGAAATAGCTACTTCCTCTTTGCCTTGATGTCACAGGCAGAGCAAAGCAGTCATGTCTGTGGTGTTGGCGGTCCCAGTCCAGCATCTGCAGGGCAGCTGTTTTTGTTTATTAATCGTTGTAAGTGATCTCCCGTAAAAAGGATCAGCCTGAGGTGCAACGTTAAAGTCTTAGGTCTTTACAAGACCTCCTTTAATCTGGGCATGCAAGGTGTCTTTTTAATCTTCCCCATACTTGTGACATTTGAATGTCTTTGTCTTTCATGTCTAGATCCCAAAAGGGGAAAAAAAAGAAAAATGAAAGGGAAAAAAAATATCCTGGCATTTAAAAATCCACTGGAAGTGCTTAAGCCAGTGAGGGATGGGTTTGAACAATGGTGTGTGTGTGTGTGTGTGTGTGTGTGTGTGTGTGTGTGTGTGTGTTTGAAAAAAATGGTCTCTGTGGTCAGAAGTGGCAATCAGGGGTTGGGGTGTGGTGCAGAGGTAGAGCACTTGCCTGGCATGCATGAGACCCTGGGTTCCATCTTCAGCACCACACCCTACACAATTATGGCAATTTTTTAAAAATGTGGCAATTATTCATCAGAATGTAGTTCCCCCATATTTAGAGAGTGGGACCCTGAGTGCCCACACCCTGGCTCTGATGTGACATCCATGCTGATGTATATCAGCAGTATAAGTGCCTGCAGAGGGCTGGATAGCTGCTGCTAAGAGCTGAAATTCATCACAAGTCACCATCCAAACTTTCCCCGTGACACCAGTGGGAGGTCCAGTTAGGGTTCAGGTTCTTGGCATCGTGAACAAAGAACTGAGCAAGACAGACAGAAGCAACAGGCAGAGCATAGATTTGTTCAAAGCGAAAGTGACACTCCATAAAACAGAGCAGAGTGGGCCAAGTGAGACTGGCTCAAGGCCCAGGGTCCAGGCGAGTCTCATCCTACGCGGTGAGCTGCGCTGGGATCCCTCTCTGCACACACCTGATTGGAGACCCTGCCCCATTTGTTCCCATTGGTTACTTGATTTTTGCCTAATTAGAAGACAGTTTCTATTGGTCACTTGATTTTCACCTGATTAGAATACAGAACCTATGGTGGGCGTTGCCATGGTGATACGCCCTCAGGGGTGGGAGTTGTCATGGTCATAGTGTACACAGGGACATGATGACTCTTCTACTCCAGCCCGGTACACTACCTCTGCCATGTGGGCATCCCCAAACTCCTATCTCACCCTGGAAGTCACCAACTTTCAATGGAATCCAGAGCTCCAAGATGTTACTCTGGACAGATTCTGCTAGTACTCTTGCCAGCTGGGTTAGGGAGACTGATTGTTGGTGCTTCCTAATCTGATATCTTCCTCCCCATCTTTCAACTTTTGGAGAAGTTGTAAGGGATTCATGGCAATTCTGCAATGTTTAGTAGAATTCAAAACAAAGCCATCTGGTCTGGAATTTTCTCTCTATATATATTTTAGTTGTCAATGGACCCCTGGAATTTTCTTTACAGAAGTTTTATTTTGTTTTGTTGATACTGCAAATTGAACTCGGGGTGCTTTACCACTGAGCTACATCCCCAGTACTTTTTATTTTCTATGTTGAGACAAAGTCTTGCTAAACTGCCCAAACTTGTGATCCTCCTGCCTCAGCCCCCTGAGTTGTGATTACAGGCATGTGATTACTGGCATGTGGGAAGTCTTTTAAATCAATCATTCAATGCCTTTACATTTTTCTACTCAGATGTTATATTTCATAAATTAATTTCATTATTTTGAATCGCCCTAGGAATTTTTCCATGTCATTTAGGTCATCTAATTGTTGACACACAAATGTTTTCAATTATATTTCTTTTCTTTCTGCAATATCAGTCATGATGACTTTTTTTTTTTTTTTGGTGGTGGTGCTGGGGATTGAACCCAGGGCCTTGTGCAGGTGAGGCAAACACTCAACCAACTGAGCTATGTCCCCAACCGATGTCTTCTCTTTTGTTCCTGTTTTGTTTATGAGTCTGTTCTATTTCTCTCTTGGTTGGTCCATTTAGATTTGTCAGGTTTGTGATTTTTCAAAGAATCAGCTTTTGTTTCATTTACTTCTTTACTTTTTTTTTAAAATTTTTTTTTAAAGAGAGAGTGAAAGATAGAGAGAGAGAGAGAACTTTTTTTTAATATTTATTTTCTAGTTTTCAGCGGACACAACATCTTTGTTTGTATGTGGCGCTGAGGATCGAACCCGGGGCCGCACGCATGCCAGGCGAGCGCGCTACCGCTTGAGCCACATCCCCAACCACTTCTTTACTTTTTAATTGTTGCATTTCTTTGTGCTCATGTTTATGATTTCCTTCCTCTGCTCTCTTTAGGTTTAGTTTCTTCTTTTTATTGGGAGGCTTAGGTTATTGGTTTGAGGTATCTCTTCTTTTTAAATATGTGTTTATAAATTTCTGAGAACTGCCTTAGCTGATTCCTATGAGTCCTGGTATGTTCTCTTTTTGTTTTCATTCCTCTCAAAGCGTCAGTGGGTTCTTGTCCATTCCATGAGAAGAATTGGACAAAGGAACGACAAGAGGGTTACAAGATTCTTCCCTGGGGGCTTCTGCTCGAAGAAGGAGGGAGAGGGAATCAGTTTGTTTCAAACTAAAGACAAACACGGACTGGCCCCTTGATGCCACCCCGCGCAGAGGAGAGCCTATGGTCTTCATCATTCCTGGTCCCCTACAGCATGTCTCGTAACCACCTGAAGTCCCCAATAGGGCTGAGCTTTTTACTCTGCCAACAAAGGTAAGTGTGGGCTACTTTAGTGACTGTTCTATGCATACATCTGCCCCTGGCCACCTGGAATTGCTCCTTATCATCTGGGAAAGTCCCTAATATTATTTTAAGAGCAGGGCAAACTATTGTCCTGTCAAGATGTGTTTTACTGATGTTGCTTTGTCTGGCTCTGGCTTCTTGATATGGTCTCAGAAGGCAGAGATGACTTCTCAACATCCTGGTGTGTTAATTCCATAGCCTCAAAGAGTAGTCCTTTTTTTAAATCCCAATTTTCTGTTATATCCATTAGTTCTGTGGGATTGAGAGTAGTTTGCCCATCTCATTCCCCCTTTAATTTTAAGGGGTTTTGTTTTTCATGGAGGAGGGTTCCCATCTTGAAAGCACTTTCTAAGTTTCCCCTTGATTCATTAATTATTTAGATATGTGTTAATTTCCACATATTTGTGAATTTTCCAAATTTTTTCCTCTTCTTCCCCCCCATCTTTCTTTCTTTTTCTTTTAATTTTTTTAGGGAGGGAGGGAGGGAGGGAGGGAGAGAGAGAGAGAGAGAGAGAGAATATATCTTTAATATTTATTTTTTAGTTTTCGGCCACACGCATGCCAGGCGAGCACGCTACTGCTTGAGCCACATCCCCAGCCCTTCTTTTAATTTTTGAGACAGGGTTTTGCTAAGTTGCTTAGGGCAACCCTAAATTGCTTAGGCTGGCCTTGAACTTGCAATCCTCCTGGCATGGTGGAGTCCATGCCAGGCTCTCACTGTCCTTGATCCCTAAGATAATTCTGTTGTTGTATGGTTTCAATTCTATCTTAAGACTTGTTTCATGGCTAATGTATGTCATCACAGAGAATGTTCAGGTGTATTTGAGAAGAACGGATCTGTTGTTGGGTGGGGTGTTCTGCAGATGCCTGTTCAGTCTGGTTGGTTTGTAGTGTTGCCAAGTCTTCTATTTACATGTTGCCCTTCTGTTTAACCTTATTGATAGTGGTGCCAGATGTGGTGGCACACACCTTTTAATCCTAGCAACTTGGGAGACTGAGGCAGGAGGATCACAAGCTTGAGGACAGTCTCAGCAACTTAGCCAGACCCTGTTTGGAAATTAAAAAAAAAAAAAAATTTTTTTAAAGGGCTGGAGATGTAGTTCGGTGGTCAAATGACCCTGGGTTCAATCTCCAGTACCAAAAACAAACAAACAACAACAACAACAACAAAACAACCAACAACCACAGTGATGTACTGAAGTCTTCAAAGATTAGTTGTGTTGTCTACACCGCCCTTAAGTTCTACTGGCTGGCCTGAGCTCACAGGGAAGGCCAAGGAGAGTGTGAGGGAGGAAGGGACTGGTAAAAGAAACAGAGGCTACTGTGGTCCTTTCAGTCCCGTTTGCTGCTTTCGTGCAAGAGGGAGGAGAGTGGGCCTGGGGCTGTGTTTTGTGAGATGGCAGCGCCCCCTGGGGAAGTAAAGTTGGAGAGCAAATGTGCCTTTCTACTCTGAGACTTGAGGGCTGGTGGCTAGATCTGAGGCCATGATGGGTCCTGAAGAGGGGACCAGAGTCTGTTTTGTCATCTGGTCTGTCCCTGCAGCCCCTTCCCCTCATCTCTTCTGACTGCAGAACTCGGGAGCGCGCCTTCCTTGAGAGTAAAGCCTGATCCTAGCTGTGCACTGTGATGGGTCTCCAAATGAACGGCGTTCACCTGGGCTCTCCAGTGACGAGGGAAGTGCATGGAAGCGCATTAAATTGTGGATCTATAGTGTTTAATTGACATTTAGTATTTGCAATGAGAGCAGAATTCACAAATGGATTTTTGGGCCCAATCTGGCCAGCAAATGTTTCGTTTGTCCTGTATGGTACTGACTTTTTTTTTATTATTATTAAAGTAAATCCAACGTATTAGGATTAGAGTTCACAATAAAATCTAAATTTCTGCTTCTCTTTAAATTCAGCCCTGGTAGTGCTGTGCGTAGGAGCTGCTCCCTGAGATGGGGGCATCAGTTCTCTGGTTGTCACATTCTCCCTGATCCTATGTTGCATTTTTTCCCGTTTGTCAGCACTGGGAATCACACCCAGGGCCTCGTACGTGTGAGGCAAGCACTTTACCACAGAACTGTCCCCAGGCCTTTTTATTGTATTTTCTGAGACAGGGTCTTTCTAAATTGCCCAGATTGGCCTTGAACTTTTGATCCACCTGCTTCAGCCTCCTGAGTAGCTGGGATTACAGTTTGTACCATCACACCCAGTTTCACTTGACCTTTTTTGAGCCTAGGTTTCCCCCTTTTTAAAATGGTTTGAGCTGGGGTGTGAAGCTCAGTGGTAGAGTGC